TGGACGGCGAGGCTTCGGCGTCATACCATGTCCCCGCCTTGCCCTGCAGGATGGGCCAGAGGATCGCCGAGGAGACGACGGCGCCGAAGAGCAGCGAGAAGTTGACCATGGGGGGGCAGATCATGCCGATGCCGACGAGGCTGGGAGAGAAGTCGAAGTAGAAGCGCTTCTTGTAGGCCTCGAGGCCGAAGAGAGGGAAAGCCTGGAAGCCGCAGCCGTCGCCTCCCGTGTAGAACCACTGGAACACCGCCCAGCTGAAGCTCCCACCTAGAGATCTCAGCAGAGTGGCCATCTGCAATCTTTAATTTAGACAACAAATGTATCATTTAATACATAGGTTTAATTTGTTGCAAAATCACAAAGGCATTATCAGATCTGTCACAATAACCAGCCAATACTAATGGTGATTAAATGCTGCATGTGTTTGTTCATATTACTTTGCTGTTGCTGCTCCGGCTGGCGTGTGGAAGCTGTTGACAAGTCCAGCTATCGCCGAACCGGATGGGAACAGCAGCTTGTAGTCCAGGATCATGACCTGCATGTACGTGCAGCCAGCCAAATCATCAACGGCTTGTTTGCATTGCAAGATCATTTGTTTGTTCTTGAAGGGATCAGATCAGATCAGATATGACAGATGGTGACCTTGGTCAATGGGAGCGTGATGAACAAGCTGGTGAAGCCGGTGAGGAAGCTGAAGGCCATCATCTTGCCGAGATGCAGCGAGTACACGTTGTTGCCCGTGCCCGGGCCGCCGGCCGATTTCGCCACGGGTGCCGACATGGCTGGCAGGAAGGACGTGAAGCCGCCGTAGAGCGCGAGCGTGGCGCAGGCGATGACGCAGGTCTGCACCACCACGTTCTCCTGGCGGGTGAAGGGCTGCGTGGCCACGCCGCAGCGGCCCAGCAGCCGCGTCCACGAGCTGATCGTGAAGAAGCTCACCAGGCTCGCCGACATGTTGAAGGACGGCACCAGTCCGATGGTCAGCCCCATCCTCATCGCCATGAAGCTGAACACGGCGCCGATGAACACGCTCGCCGTCACCGAACGCACCGTCACCTGCCGCCACCACGGCGCCGGCGACTGCCCCGCGAAAAGTGCCTCCACCGACGCCTCATCGTGTTCGTGCTCCTTGTCCCTGCCATGCTCATGCTCATGCTCGCCGCCGCCCTCTACGGCCATGTCGCCGGAGCCGAGCCTGAGATGCTTGCCTGTTCACGTTTGCGAGGTCTCCGTTTCCGTAGCATCCTCAAACCTGCATGGCCTGTGGCCTCCAACACAAGCATTGCTTTTTTTAGGAGTCACATATCAAATTAGTGGACTGGCAACCACAGGGTCTTCCTTTTCCTTTCTTGGCCAAACAACATTTGTTATTGTTATTGTCCAATTTAAATCACACCCCGTCAAAAAAAATTTGCACTCTTTTTGGATAACCACGCAATTGTTCATAGCGCTGCGTGACTTCCCCAACGCAACACGTTGGGGCAGCACTGTGTGCTCTTGACTTCTTGCGCTGGCGTAGTGTCCCGGTGTGTCCATTTCTATGTCACCAAAAATATTGACCTCGCAGACGTTTGTAATGACTTGGAGCGGTACTAGTATTTTTATCTGATACACATAGCTAGCAGAAGCAAATGTTGAAGAGCCTGTTGTGGTCTCGATGTTTCCTTGCACGTATGGAACCTAAGTTTTGCATGTGAGTATATATTTGTATGAACTATGGATGTGTTAAGTATTAAATTTTTTTGAACGACCAAAATATACTTTTAACATTGGTTTTCGTGTTTTCACCTAGTAGGTCGTTTCCAACATATATTTTGCAGCGTTGCTGCGGCCCTGATGTGCTACTGAGTGCCCCCATATGCATTTCCTCCTTAAAATTTCTTCCATCATATCACAGCAGCACAGGCAGTACAAAGGCGGCAATTCATCTTAATGGATCCAAAGTTCTAACACATGCGATACAACCTTAATAAATAAACTCGCTTCGAGAGGCTTTATAATGTTCGTTCATGGTACTTCCTTCTTATGGCGCGGAAATAGGGGCAGCAGAAGCCACATTAACCAATTCATACTCTACTAGCGACAAGTTGTTATCTTCCTTCACTGTGAAGCTAGCTGGCTCTGTAGCCTCAATCCGCCCCCATTTGTCCACTGCAAGCCTCATCGATCCTTTGAACATGTCAATTTTGGCATTGCGCAAGATCACTGTGGCATTGGCCTTCAACAAGTCAACTGCAAAGGAGAGCACATCATAAGTCCTGGGCAAATGCACAGTCAAAACAATCATCAAACATGATGTTCACATGACAGCAAAGATAAAACAAGTCAAGAATAAATGGCTTTTAACATGGTCGCAGCATGTATATGGAAATGTAGGATCCCAGTGTCGATTGTGCTGCATGTACTGTACACGCTCTGGGACGCAGTCATAAAGTTGACAAATGGATAGAGCAAAGATAAATGCCAACCTTTAAATCAAGGTACCAATGGCACGTTTTGGAAACTTTGATGCCACTTGGACCCCCCCAAAAAAAAAAAAAAAAAGTAACAAGAAAACAGATCAGCACTACAAATGAGCAGGTAACAACAGCAAAATCCAAATAAAGAATATTTATATGGTGTCCATCAACATTGATGATGAACTATGATCAGAAATAACGGCTTCCAGTTTTTATCACTCATAGGGTGCAAGATATTTCATAGAGAACAGCAGCAAATATAAAAAGTAGCTGCAAAGGCAGGTCATTTTCTATCCACCCAGATTTGGGTAAGCAGGGCCTTTAAAAAAGAGCAAAAAGAGCACACCCTCATTCAAATTCAAAGTAGACGCTCAGCAGTAGTGTATCTGTACCTGAGATACGACCTACATGAGCAAGGTTCCAAAAGGCGCTAGGCGGTGACTCACCGCCTAGTGCCTAAGCGAGCCTAGGCGTTTTAATATTTTTATACACATACATAAGTTACCTTAAATAAAAGAAGAAATAGGAGACTTGTAGACATAAAGTTGGAAGAAAAGCCCATCAAAAGAGCCCACCCCACCTTATCCACCTACACTATATAAAAACCCTCCTCTCACTCTCACCCAACCGCACACCTTATCCCTTCGCCTCCTCCCAACCAGCCACATGGCCACATCTCTCTCTCAGTCCGCGCATGGCCGCATCTCTCTCCCGTCTCTCAGTCCGCGCATGGCCGCATCTCTCTCTCAGTCCGCGCATGGCCGCATCTCTCTCTCAGTCCGCGCCCGCCGCCGCCGGTTCCTCCCCCTCTCCCACATCTATCTGAGTCCACACTCGCCGCTGCCGAACACGCCCGCCCCTCACAGCTGCGCACGCAGCCCGCCTTCCTCCCAATCATGCCTGAGCCTCCGCTCGTCGCTTGCCGCCTCCCGGCCGCGCCTATCCTCCACCTACCCCCTTAGGCCAGGCAGCACCCCTCCGCCTAGCGCATAAGCGGGCCTAGGCGAGCGCCTAGCAGCACCTTTTTGAACATTGTATATGAGTAGTGTAATGTTGTTAACAATGATAGGTGGTTGGCTCAATGAAACGGCAGTGCAGAAAAAAAGGGCATAAGATATAGGGATAGCAAGTAACAGCTGATACTTGGTTCTGACCTCTGATATGACACGTGGTTGGCTGATTGTACGTACTGTTGTACAAAAAATAAGGTCAACAAACTCTTCTCTAAACTAAGCCTCACTTAACTTTGCTACCAGCTATCCCATCCATACTGGAACTAAATAAATTCATAAGATGGGGCAGTCTTGCCACTTATTCCCCAGCTTTTCTTCTATAATCATCACAGCTAAACATAATAACTTTTATCAGAAATAATGAAAGTGAGATTTTTTACCACACTCAACACTCTTAGGGAAAAGATATTCCACAGAGAACAAGAGCAAATACAAAAGATAGCATCTAAGGCATGTAATTTTTCATCCATACAGATTTAGGAAGGCAAAGCCCTGGAAAAAAAGTGCATATCCTCATTTGGGTTCAAAATAGAGGCAGAGCGGTAGTGTGTTAGTACACGACATACAACATATACGAGTAGCTAGCGTGCTGTCTAGATCAATACGGCATCTGAAGTCAATTAAACTGCACTGCAGAAGAAGGCCAAAAAGAAACAAAGATACAGAATCAAGTAACGGCTAATAGTTAGTTTTGACCTCTGATGTGCCACACGGTCGGCTGATTGCATGTACTGTTGTATACATAAAAGAAGGTCTGCTGAGCTCAATGGATTCAAAGTAGATGCACCAGATACTGTGTCAGTACATGAGATACAAGTAACCTATACGAGCAGCTGGCGTGCAGTTGTTAAGAACGATACATCATCAGAACTCAGTTAAACTGCACTGCATAAAAGGCCAAAAAGGTAGGGGTAACAAGTAACGGTTGATAGTTAGTTTTGACCTCTGATGATGGTATGTGGTTGGCTGATTGTCCGTACTGTCGCACATAAAGGAATGTCAACAAACACTTGTTTGAACTAAGCAGAGCTTAATGTTTCTACCAGCTATCTCATCCATAATAACTGAAACTAAAGGTGTGTTTGGTTTGAGGAATGGGGCACTGGGCAGTCCATAATCTCATTACTCCTTACTTTTTTTTTTGTTTGGTTTGTGGAATAGAACGAGTTGATTCTCCACCGCCTCACTCCTCACAAGTTAAATAATTATATTAGTACAAACACAAGGAACGGGTTGGTTCCACCAAATTAATGGAATGCACTAATGATGTGCCACCTCATCTAGGATGAGTTGGTTCCATAAACCAAGCACAACCCAGCTTTTCTTCTGTATATAGTCATCACAATTCACAAGCAGTAAGCATCTGACATCTCAGTGGGTGGGTGCAAAACAATAACAACAATTAATTAATTAACAAGAAAAGGCCGCAAATCTCATCTTCCTCCCTAGTCGTTTTATGTACGTATGACATGAAAGTCGTTTTTTGTATGCATGTATATGGCATGAAAGCAGGCGCGGATGAGCGCAGTCAGATCGAACAGGTGATGGAGTCCAGTCCGCCACAGCAGAGCAGAGAACGATAGAGAGTAGGCGAGGAGGATGAGCATTGACCTTGGTCGTTGCGGGCGGTGAATACGATGGCGCCGGTCTCGTCCCCGACGAGGCACTCGGCGATGCGCGGCGCGCGGGACGGGGCCGCGGCGGGTGCCCCTGGGCGCGCGCGGCCGGGCACGGGGGTAGCGCTGACGACTTTGACGGTGAGGGTGTGCCCGTTGGTGCCCGGCTTGAGCTGGTCGACCTTGGTGAAGACGGGCTTCCGGAGCGCCGGCTTGTCGCTGCCGCCCTGTGCCGCCGCGGTGGACATCGCCGGTGAAGGGGTAGGAGTGGGGGTACGGATCGGGCTGCAGTCACTGAGGTGCGGAAACCCTAGCGCGTCTGGGTGGGGGTGCGTGCGGCGCGGAGGTGGAGTGTGAGTGGGGGTGGGGGAGTAAACAAGACGACGACCACCACCAGCTGCCTGCGTTAAGACCAGAGTAGTTGGGCCGGGCCTGGATTACCCCAATGTCGTGGGCCGGAAAATTCCGTTTCTTTTTCATTTCCTTCTTTTGTAATGATGATCCATTTTCATTCCGAAAAATTTAATTCGAAGTACCGCTGCAGATCAAATGCCGTTCTATTTTTCCGATTTTTTTTCAACGCGAGGAACCTTCCCCATTTCCTTAGATCAACGGAAATACATTGTTCAGCATTATTTACAGATAAGATAGAAGCAAAGGACACATAACTACCATAACAGACATCGACCACCGATATCAAGAGCTAAAGCCAGCCACCAGAAAACTAAAGCCAGCCACCATAAAACTAAACCGTCCCTGGGCAAGTTCGCTTGAACTTATCAGTTGGCTTATCAGTTAAAATCTACAGTATTTTTCTCTTACAACAAAATAGCTTTAGCCGACTTTAATACCAGTCGAACAGAACTAAACCGTCCCTGGGCCTTACCGCACTTAACGTCCAAAGCGACCTACAACCACTGGGCCCGTTCGTTTGAACTTATCAGCCGCCTTATCAGCTAGAATCTACAATATTTTTCTCTCACAACAAAAAAGCTTCAGTCGGCTTATCAGCCGACTTTAATACCAGCCGAACAGTTTTTGCCTGAAAGTGACACTTGGATCACACCAAGGTCGAAGTTTGTTTATACAAAAGACCACCACCGCAAAAGACTGAAGACTTCTGGCATCTTTCTCCAGGCTTTTTGTTGATTCACGCTTCGTCTTCAGGCTCTGATGATTCGCCATCACGAAGCAGTAGCCTGTTAACTTGCCTTGCCGTCTGAATCGCCAAAATCTCCTTATTAACCCTCGGCATCGTATTTGCGCCTTCCACCAGCTTGTTCATGATCTATTTCTGCATATAGACCTGACCAGTAAATCATAAGTGCGCATGCGTGACAGATTATCTCAAGAGGATTCTTAATAAGTTTTTTTTCTCAAAACAAGCCCGATTTCGACATTTCCAGATTGCCCAGCATATGGCGGCAACACCCCAGGGGTGGTATTGTTTACCAAAAGGGAACCATTGTTCACACCACTGCCAACATTGTTGAAGATTTGTGGGAATGTTAGAAGCCCCGAAGCATTTTGCAACAACTAACCAGATAACTTTGACAACTGGACACTGAAAAAACAAATGAGATACAGTTTTCACACAATCACATAAAACACAACTAGGATCTCCCTGTCATTTCCTTTTCTGCAAATTGTCTTTAGTCAGAATAGCATTGTTAGTCATAAGCCACAAAAATATTTTGATCTTTGCAGGGATCTTCCCCTTCCATATTCTTTTGCGATAAATTCCAGATTCAGATTTAGATAACCCATTATAAACTGATTTTACAGTAAACATGTTACTTTTTCCAAGCTTCAAAACTACAGTGTCATGATCACCCCTTAACTGAAAATTACAAGCATCATGCCAAATCTTTTCCCAACTAGTCCTTAGCAGGGCCGGCTCTATAATTTTAAGGACCCTTGGGCAAGCAAGAAGATAAGGGTCCGTTGAACTAATTTTTAATATCAAAATTACAGTATATAGTACTAATAATAAAAATTACTTTGCAACATATGTATAGCTCATAAAACATAACAATAGTGTAACAAAAAACTATAAACAGTAACCATTATTATTACCTCAAATAAAAATATAATGCTTCAGTGTCTTGAAAAAAGGCCGTCTTCGGGCATTTATTGATGCAAAATCTTTATGAACAGTATCAAGATTAATGTCTTCCAAAATATCCTTCTCAATGCTGCGATTCTACGAACTGATCTTCTTGTTTTCTTTTCTTTTTCTTTTCTGAGCATCCAACAAATGCTTCTTAGGCAACATCTAATATATTCAAATAAATACATTGAATTAGAAATTTATAACTCTAGCACTGTACAAGCATAGCGCATACAGAAAACAAATAAGAAAAAAGAATTAGAAAATACTAATCGATCATGGGTGTTGGTGTGTTGCTTACTGTGATCGCGTGCTCGTCTGCTCTCTACCGACCTTGCCGTTGCTGGTCACAGGGTGAGGAGCGAATCAGATCGGCGTCGGCGTCTATTCTCCTTAGCCAGAACCCAGAATAGCGCGGGCGTCGATGGGCAGGGTGCCAGGGTCGCGGCGGCGGCAGGAAACAAAACGTCGAAATGTGCCTGCGCTCCGCTCGATGGTTCCAGGCTGGAAGACTTCCCTACGGTTGTACGGCATGGTCTGGTTTGTGATGGGCTTTCAAGCGCTTATGTCAAATAGAAAATTATATGTACTAATTACATATGTAGTCTTGGGCCCCTCAGCTCCATGGGCCCCCAGCGGTCGCACTGCCTGACCTCCCCCTAGAGCGGGGCCTGGTCCTTAGATCCCCAAACAACCATCTTCTAAAAGAGATAACATCACCAGATAAGGCCTGGGCAACAGAAACACATTTATTTTCACATAATTCAAAGAGCACAGGAGCAATAGCACAAATTGAACTATCATAAACCCAATGATCTAGCCAAAATCTTGTTTGTTCACCATTACTAATCATAACACCCCTACCTTGTAGATATATGTCTTTTACCTTGAGTAAGTCACTCCAAACGGGTGAATCATTCAGCTTGTGCTGCACATCATGAATTGACTTATTATTCATGTATTTGTGTTTAACAATTTGCTGCCATAAGTCCTCTTCTTTTTCCAACCTCCACCACCATTTGCATAACAAGCTAATGTTCATTCTTCTCAAATCTTTAATGCCCAACCCCCCCCCCCTTTTTTGCTTTTGCATATCAATTCCCACTTAACCAAATGATATTTTTTCTTAGTCCCTCCACCTTGCCAGAAAAAAAGTTGTTCTTATTTGATCCATCTTTTTGACTGTAGTCTTGGGGAGCAAATAAACTGACATGTGGTAAATGGGGGAATTGTTAAGACTGGAGCTAATTAAAGTTGATCTTCTAGCTATAGATAGAGAACCACCCTTCCACACATCTAACCTTTTATTGCCCTTATCAACCAAAGGGAGCCAATCAATAACTTTCAACCTGCTTGGGCTGACAGGTACCCCTAAATACTTTATAGGGAGCAAACCAACCTGACAGTTAAAAATCTCAGCATATCTCTCTCCTAAATTCTCTTTGTCATTGATCATATAAATCTCACTTTTGTTAAAGTTTATTTTTAAACCAAAAGAAGTTTCAAGTGAACAGCCCCATCCATATCATTTTTTAGAAAAAAGAATGGTATCATCAGCGTACTGTAAAATGCCAATCCCTCTATGGATGATGTGACTAATTAGACAAGTGATAAGACCATATTCCTGAGCTTTGTGCACCATTCTAGCCTAACCCCTTTGTAACTTTTAATATAAGAACCAGTTTTGTTATTGACTTTCACACTCATAGTACCCCCTGAAACAACTTGCTTGATCCAACTGCACCATTTCTGATCAAAGCTCCTTTTTAAGGGCAAGTAAACAGCAGTTTCCAGTTAACTTTGTCGTAGGCCTTTTCAAAATCTAGTTGAAAGTGCAATCAAGCCCTAATTGTGGGTTTTGGTGATAGTGACCACGCAGTTAGAGAACTAATGAGATTTATCAAGATGACAAGCAGAGAATTCATATTCGAGGATGCTACACAAAACGAAGGAGCCTCCAATTACAAATGTAGATGGCTTCAAACTTAAATGAGGTTTAAATTCTTTTTTATTTTGAATTTGAGTATAGGAAAAGTTGTACTATAAAGGGGGACACAATGCTTAAGCTAATATGTGCTACCAAGTGCTCAAACATAGACATGCATCCTCAAATTCATAGCCAAGACAATCTGCACTTCACTCTTACCCTTACTGTCTTGCGTGGTGCGGCACTGCCGTACTTGAAGAGAGGCACTGCGGCACCGCCGCACTTGAGCCGCCGCTGTGTGACCGTTGCGGCACGGGGGTATTTATACTCTTCCCCTTCCTCCCCAACGGTTCTCTGCCTCTTCTTTCTCACTCCAGCACGCCCAAAACAGAGCAGGAGCTCTCTCTCTCTATTGTTGACCTCAAGCCCCCAAGCAAATCCGTTGATTTCCCCATCAATCCTTAAGGGAAAAGGGTCCAAAACTCGATTAGAGATCAGCTCCATTGATTCCCCAACTCTAAAGAGCACTTGGTTCACGGTTTGGCCGGCGGTTATGTTTGTTACTCTTGGAGCTTGGCTCCGAGCCGGCTAGAGCGTCGCCCGTGGAGCCTGCCAACTTATGTGGTAGCTCTGGGAGGTTTGTAACCATCTCTTAAAGTTAGTAAACTCACGTCTCATCTTGAGAGTTAAGTCTCTTGATTTGAGAACGATGAAGGCTTGGAAAGCCCTAAGCCTTAGTGGCTAACCTCAACAACGTGGAGGTAGGCAAGCCTTGGTGGCGAGCCGAATCATGAGATAAATCATTGTGTCACTTGTGCTTGATTTATATTACTTGCATGACATACTGTGGTTGAGGTGATTTCTAGGGTTTCTAGTAGATCTACTTATGTGTGGTGTTTCTACCACTTCTAGCTCTTGATCTATAATTGTCATACCTGCAGTAAGTTAGGAAATTTTTTCGATCTAAGTTTTCGTTCATGGATTTTGAACTGTGACTTGAAGTTGTCTGTAGGTGCGACAGTGCCGCTATTCTGGCCTGGCAGTGCCGTAGTCCGGCAGTGCCGCCCTCTAGAGCGGTAGTGCCACAGGGTAAATTTGATAAAAGTTCAAGTGTTTGTTTTGACAGGCCTATTCACCCCCTCTAGGCCAACCAGAGATCCTACAAGTGGTATCAGAGTGGGTTACCTCATATACGCTTCACTGCATGAGGT